CCAGAGCGGATCATCATTTCACTCAGGTTTTGCAAGCTCTGCCCCATCTGCTCTGTCACCCCTTCTGTGTCCTAAAAATCTCATTAAATAAGTGGTTCCTCCTCTGAGCTGCCAAGGACCCAGTACGGACACAGAGTTTTCATGGTGCTGAGCACCTTTCAGAATGAGGCGTCCAATTTCTGCGACATGGGGGAATGATTTCCTTCTCCTGGGATATACTGCCAGGGAAGGGGCCTGTGCTGCAGGAAGAGATGGGGGACAGGCATGCTGCTAACGGGGGTGCTTCCAAACTGTGGTCCCGTGCCACAGACTTTATTTCTACACGTAAGTGGGCACCCCCCAACCCTACACAATGAAGTACCTCTACCCTGTGTTCTTCGATTCCGCGTTCCCCACAGTGCAAGGCATCTCCTGCCAGGACAGGAGAAAGTCCAGTGTTAATTTAGAAAATCCCTGGGCAGACCAGACCTGGAGAGAAAGGCATTAGACCTGGAGAGAAAGGCATTTCATGACATGAAGAAAACAGACTTCCAACCAACCCCCTCCAGGATAAATTTTGCCTGGAGGCAAATGTTGCTCTAATACCAAGAGACACACAAAGTCCGTTTCTGAGCATTGCAAGCAGAACCCCTGTTTGAGTCTCTTAATTTACTGCAGCCTTTTCAAGGAGGCACCACTTAATAAATGCTGCCTGGTAATCCTGGGGGGGGGGGGGGGGGGTACAAGAGCGTAAACAGGGGAAGCAGTGCAGGAATCCTTGCTGCTGGTATTTCTGGGGCAAACTCGGGTACCACGCGCTTAGCTCAGGGATTTGGTAGTGTCACCAGCCAAGTATTAAACGTGTTTGCAATCTCTAAAGGACACAATTAAGGTTAACAGGATGTTCCACCTTTTTTTTTTCCCCCAGCATCTAAACATGCCAAGGTTAAAACTGAAATAACCTTTAGGCTATAATTGCTTTTACCTTTCTGCAGTTTTCTGAATGAATATCATAAAATAGTCAGGTTTACTTCCTCTTTTTATGTGTTTCTCATGCCATTTAGCACAGTATAAAGGCTTGTGCACCTCCACTGGCCCAGCAAATTGTTTTACTTTATAAAATCCCTTATTTTTGGTTTCTAGACTTCATTTGCATTCCTAATAGATTTTTTTTTTTTTTTAAATCAACAAAACCTTTAACATGTATCTCTGAAGTCAGAGTGGGTGAACCCCAAACCGTTGTGGTGACACTGCAGGATTACAGAAAATACTGTGTTAAGGAAGTGTACTGAAGAGAGGAGCCGGGGAGAACCTGGCTTGTATCAAACTGGTAATCATAAAAATCTGGTATTTGTGCCAGATACTGCAGTGGAAATATCCTTTTATGTAGCAAGATTTGTGCCCAAGAGGCAATGCCAGAAATTTAGGAAAATCAAGCAATTGCAGAGGAGTTGAGATGTTCGACTCAGCATTGAGACAGAGTAGATGAAATGATAATTTCAAAGATGTTGTTACCATTACATTGTCTAATTAGTAAATCAATTTAATTTAACCACTCATGCTGCTCAGGAGGGACAGTAACACAGAAGCAAGCCATCTTTCTAGGGCTTCAGCCCACCTGAGCTTGTATTACATCAACAGCCTGTCCAGTGTTCCAAAAGCACGGCACATGCTTCCCGAGAAAGGTAGCGAAGTTTCCCTTTTTTCCTTCATTGTTTTCGGCACTCAGATTGAGATACAGTCAGAGCTTTGGGGTGTTTGGATCACACCTGCTGCAGTGGTACTGTTGGTTCTCTGGAACGTGGGCATTTTTTCTTCCTGGACTCCATCCAGTTGGCTGCCACTGGCTGAATACATGCTATTTGTATTCTGTCGTAAAAATGCTATCAGCTGAAGTTTATTTAGCAAAGTCATTCGTCTTGGTCTGAGATATGTGTTACACAGTGAGAGAAAAGAAGATGTGAACTTTCATAGTTAGGCTGTTTTGATTGGACTTCAAAGCAGCAGCAGGACTTCCTTATTGATTTTCCACCCCCACATTTTGGGTAAATGTTTTGGAAGTTTTTTGCCACCTACCAATTGGCAGAACAAAGAAAGGAATCCCACACATGACTCCATGCTGAAGAACTGGCACTGACTGTGCATGCAACCCCCACTTTTTGTTACTCATGATAGAGAGAAGGCACCAAATACGATGCTAGATTGGGTCTTGCCAAATCACAGTTAGACAACTCAGGATGCTGTCGTTGTGAGGAGTCTGGAAAGCAGAACATTTGGCGAACAGTATGTCGTTCTTGGAGCCCAAGTCTATAATTATGTCCTGTGTCCTCTTGAGAGGAGATGCCAAAGTTCCAGTCTTAGCAGGTGGCTTGGAACCAAGTGAAACAAAACAACAGGGAACAGTGACTGTTAAGTTAACAGCAAAAACATCTGCGTGGGCCCCGATAAAGTTCTAGAGTTAAGAGATGCAGACGTGGCTGAGGGGATTATGTGAAACCTAGATGAGAAAGTTCATCTGGATTAGTGGGAGGAATCACACCTTGGATGGGAGGAACACTGCTTTTTCTAAAATGTGCGCTTGCAGAATATGTTGGGTTAAAAATTAAAAATGTAGCAGATGTTAACATGATTAGTTGATACAAAGGGTCAACACAGTGCCAAAAATGAAGGTTTGGGGCAAGCTGCATTGGGAGTTTTATTTGTTGGAGACTTTATGTCCCCAAAACTGGTTTCATCCCGGAATGTCATATCATCCATAAGAGAAAGCAATCGGGAGCGCATGCCTGGCTTTTCATCCTCTACTGCTGATTTATCATGTCAATTTGTCGAGTGATTTATTGTCTGGTCCTTTTGGAGGATAATTGTATCCATTCCCAAAAATGAAAGGTGGTTTAGAATTTCTAAATTTCTATTTTAGAATAGCCTCAATCCTGGCTATTGCACACAGAGGAGCTGATTCAATGCCAAATTTTGATTCATAATGAAGAGTAAGGGAAATGTTGGGAATTAAGGTGCCTGGATACAAGAGGGAATAAATTACCATCTGATGCCCCTGTCTTCTGGGTGCAGTGCACGTTCTGCTAATTTCCTGCGGGTGCATTCTTTTCACATTCAGGTCTCATTGCTATTTTTTAATAAGTCTCTCAGAATAATAGCCGCTGTTATTTGCCTTCAGTCTAAGGGCTTTTTTAACCATAATTTCTCACATGAGACTTGTTCATAACACTCTTGTTTTAACGTGTGTGTGTTATACACTGAGAATAAAGTTTTCTTTGAGAGGACAGGAACACTTCCTTAGCTATGGAATTTCCTTAGCACTGAAATTTTCTCCTTGACCTTTCTAGAGCAGAAAGTAAAACAGAGAAGTATGGCTGCACCCCCTCAATTCTTTCTGTGGATACACTCTTCCAGTGTTTATTCACTCCCCTCTACTTACAAATGCTCCATCCTGAAAGACAGCCCTTTCCTCTTCTGCGTTTCACCTCCAGCACCAGGCTGGCCGCTCCTCCTTTCCTTGCCTCTGGCAGGGGCCAGGCTGAGCTGTAAGACAAATATTAAGGCCCCGAGCCCACCAATGCTCCAGAGGCTCCCTGCTGGAGCACGCTGTGCGACCTGGTCATTCGAGTCCCCCCCGGTGTCATCCTTCTGACCTTCTGTTGTGCTTGGCCCCTGCTGAGGCATCTCTTCACACATATTTACCTTCCAGGTTGCTACCGCTGGCTGCAGGGCTGTGAACAGGCGATTTCTCCTGCGTGTGACATTTCCTCGCTTGATTGTCAAAATTTAAGTCTTGAATGTCAGATTTTGCTTGTAGTTTGTGCCTGACACCACCTTTTTCATTAGCAGTAATGTAGCAGTTTAGAAGTTGCTGCACAAGCTTTGACTATTTCTGGAACCAAATTGCGTGCGTGCACAGCAGTAGGATTTTATGTTGCAAATTCCCTGCAGTCTTTTGGTATAAACTAGTGTTTCTGCCTCAACAAAACGTCACAGATGGAAACAGAGCTGGACATTTAAATACCTAATGCCTTGAGACTCACCCCTACTGCTACTACTGCTCTGTTGGATTTATGGAGAGTAAAGTTCATTGCTGGACAGTAAATATTAAAATGCGATTGTTTTAGCTACAGACAGTCATTAAATATTACTGAGTTTTAGCAAAAGCTTTTCATAATGAACTAAATACTGCCATTGCATGTCACTGCTCCTTTGTGTAAGTGCAAACTTGCGTTGGCTTTCATAGAATTACGCGTTTTGGCTGTCGTAGGTTGCCTTAGCCCATAAATTCAGCAGTGTGCGGTTCTTCGGTGTGAGCTCAGCCCCTGTGCAACAGACCTTGTCTGAGCCTGAGGGCAGAATCACATCTTGCACACGATTACACTTCAGAGCGCAGCAAGCTGAGGAGGTTGGAAGAAGGAATGAGACCCACACCTCAGAGACAGGGATAAAAGCCCCCATGGTCAAGTTCTGTTTCTGATATCAGATGGGATCTGTGCTTTTTTGTTCTGTGAGAAACATTTCCCCCTTCCCACTAAATACACAGAAATAGAATTTAATACCTCCTTTTGCTGAAAGGTAGGTAAGGTGTAGGAGTAAGCAGGACTTGATAGAAATTGCAGAAGATGGCTCACTCGCTCACCCACTGAGCAATGCCGGTGTGGCCCTGCCAGGCCCCGGGAGGGTTGGTCACTACAGCAAGGTTAGACACCCACAGATGCAGCTCTGAAGCAGCCAGGGAGAGAAGGTGGAGCGGGCTGTGGGAAGGAAGAATCAGGCCAGGAGAGCAACGGGGAGAGCAGCACCCTGCCAAGCTGCTCACAGCATTAAGTTGCCCAGGCTCCAGAGTGGCATGGGGAAGGCTGAAGCGTGCGAGGGACATTCAGCTTCTACTGAACACACTGTTCCATTTTAAACCTCCTGCACATGTTCAGTGGGCGGTTGTTTAGGGAATCGTGTTCCCTTCACCATTATCGTGTCTCTTTTTCATCTAAGTGACTAATTTTTTTGCCCATCTCTCCTAGATCTCAGACCTGATACGACAAAGCACAAAGGAGTCCCCAGTCTGGGAATTTCTCAGCTTGGGGTATGCACTCATGCTCTGCCCGTTTGTCGTTGTCCTAGGAGGGATGTTTTTCCTGGCCACAGCCCTCTTCTTCCTAAGTGACCGAGCCAAAGCTGAACAACAGTGAGTAACCTGGCAATTGCAAATGGGGAGGTACCGCAGCCTGTTTTCTCTCCCGAGTGTTATGCTTGTACTCTTTCCCTGGCCGTGGTCCTTCCAGGTAAAGGATGTCGGGTTGTGTGTTAAGAACCTCGGCTCAGCAGAGTGCATGAGGCTGCACAGAGCACAGGGGCTTGGGTCGTGCTGGCTGGGCATCCTTCACACGCTTCTGCTCTGGTTGGATCTCAGTCGTTGGCCACGTGGCCTGGAGGGGAGCACAGTATTTGAGGTCACAGGCCCCTTCCACCCTTGCGCGAGCATGCCGCAGCCCAGGCCGTCTGTGGTGAGGGGTTGCTGCGTGCTGGAACTGGTGGATTGCTAGGTGAAGAGCAAGAGATACTTTACAGAGAGCTTGGTGATCAACGTTGAGCCCACGGTCCCATCTCAGCCCCGTGCCTGGCTCACTAATGCCAATACACAGGATAGAGATACGTCAGGCAAGAAGGAAGCAAGCTGTGTGTGGGGACATACGTGCTCAAGGGTTGCTGTAATAAAGAGTCTTTCCCAGTCCCTTATTGCAGCTTGTAAAAAAAAAGCTACTTTTTTTCAGTAAAGAAACCGATTCGGACCACCTCACGGTTGGCAACTACAGTAATTCAGAAGACGCTTCCACATGACATACAAACTTCTGGGGTTAGTCTCTTTCTCATAATTGTTGAAAAATAAGAGTATCTGTGTATAATGTCATGCTGAATGTGGGTAGGTGACTAGTCTGGTGTTGACTATAAGTTGCCTTTGCCTTTCTCCCACTGGTAGAACGGGAGACATGCAGACGTACAGTGCAGACACTAACAGCCTGTCCTAATTCTGCAGACAGAGCAGAGAATACCTTGCTGCACCTTAAGGAGAAGGGCCCTGGCATATACACTGTCACTAGACATAGTGCAACTAGGAGGAAAATAAGGTGTTTGGAAGTTGACATAAGTGCGTGAACAGTTTGGGCGATACTTTCTGGCTCACACTAACCTATCAGATGGATGCAAGAGAGTTAGAAGCAGCGCCACAGATGGTGCTGTGGCCCTGTAAGCAGTTCCACCTTCTTTTTACTAACATGCACAAAATACCGGAGAAAGCAAAGGGTTTCTGCCTCCTGGTGCCTTTACATATATACGTTCCCCCTATAATGAGATGTTTAAACACTGTGGAAGAAACAAGACCTCATCATGTGTTTTGTAAGGAGGTTAAGTCCTGCACAGTTGAACTTTAGTGTGGCTTTTGGATGTGACATGACCGACGTGTGCCTGGTTTGCTGTCTGCATATAAGTGCTTTAAATTGTAAGAAGTGAAATTGGAGATTAGATGTTAGGAAGAACTTTCTAAGAGGAAAAAAAAGAGGTAAATGTTACAGCAGATTATTTGGAGAAGACATGAAATCTGTCCTGTGTTTCTGAAGGCCTCCCTGGCTCGGTCTTGAGGCAGGAGTATGGGAAGTGCTCTCTGGCTGCCTCCCAGTCCTATTTCTGTAACTGTGCACATAAGCTGTACCTGCAAGTCCAAGCAGTGATCACCTGGGGATGTGGCAAGATGAACATCAGTTCCTAGGTGCTCAGGGTGGCTTTTTTTACTGCAAGGAGCCAGAAGTTCTATTTGGTGCCAGGGTAGTGATACAGTGCAGCAGATGAAATCCCTCTCGTGTAGCTGTAGTGTTACCCTTTGCTCAGGACCCCGGCTGTTTCTAGGAAAACGTCAGTGTTTGTCTTCACTGTATTAGAGGGGAGAGTGCTCATTCCACTTGCTTATAATTATGGTGGAGGTACGTGTCCCTTTGCACCGTGGGTCTTGCCAGCATCTCAGGTGGGGAAGGAAGATTTCAGTATTCAGGTACTGATGAATTCCGGGTCACCCCCATCTTTGCCAGCACATCCAGCCCCCACGTGGATCTTTATACTGGGCGATGCACTGTGGTGTCACAGCTCCAGCGGAGTTCTTAAGGAAGAGGCTTTCTCAAGAGGCTCTGCCGGTCCCAGGCTGGGCACTAACTGGTTGACTCTGCTTGGGCACCAGCACTGGTGTGTTTTACAGTGCACCAAAACACCAGCTTTGCAGTAGTGTCACTGTGGGAGGGAGATCACATCCCACAGCTCTGCTTTCCCCTGCTTAAAAGTGTTTATTTCCATTGCTGTCTAGCCTGAGTAGTTTTGGTTGTACTCTGTTCACATCCAAAGCATACCAGCTTTCCACTTTTTGAAGGAAGATATTCAGGCTTCAGACCTGCTTTTGTAGCTCGCTGTCTTTCAGCATCTTTCCCTTTCCTGGTCTGTCTGATTCACATTTGTTTATGAATTTTATATTATTCAGCCATGGATCTTTCGCGTTACAAACTGGCTCAGATACAGAGGGAGAACAGTTGTCATAAATAATGGTTAACAAAATAATTTCTTTCAAATGACTCCTAGTGCACTGTTTCTGGGATATGCCCACTCCCATGTTAAAAATACCCTGGCATCCTGCAGTCAGATTCCTGGAGAGCACAGCTTAATTCAAGTTTGACACATTGCTGAGCAGTAAGACAGCATCTTTAATAGGTTGGCAACTGCAGGGTAGGGCTGCTCTCCCTGCCGTGCGCAGTGCTGTCGGCTGGGTCCCGTCTGCCGTTGCTGACAGGTTTGGTGGTCTCCTCGGAAGAATTTATGGGGAAGGATTTGTTTGTTATTACTTGCACGCTTGCCTGTGAGAGAAAAGACAACAGAGCATTTTGCTATTAACAGCTTAAAACTCCAGGCTGACTCCAAATCCGCCGTCCAGCTGCCCCCAGCTGAGAGGCCATCTGCCCTTGGCACCGCGCGCCCTGGGGGAGGAGAGCTTTCTGCCCAGCCCGTCCTCCCTCCTATCCTACCTATTACTTGCTGGGTACAGGAAAATTTCTTTTTTCAAGATGCCTTGTTTTCCCTCTGCAGTCAGTCATGCTGCTCGGACAACAGGACTTGGAAACGTGGTTTGCCAAAAGAAATCAATTAACCTGCAGGAATCACAAACGCTGGTGTCACACGCCAGAGATTAAACCCATTCATCACCAGCCGGGTCAGGGCACGCGGGGCAGATGTCACAGACCTCTCTAATGAACTGATACAGACGTGTAACGCTGCTCTCTGCAGCTCTGCCTATGGAAATTAAGCTTTCCCTGCTTTAATTGCCGTGCTTCTGTGAATAGTTCAGGGTTTTATTGCTAGGATTTTTTTGTTTGTTCCTTTGTGTAATGGTCTCTGGAGTTTTGCGTAGAGATAATTTCTTCTTCCAGGCAGGAGAGAGTATCAGGATAGCAACCTCTCTTTCCTGTAAAGCTTCCTCCAGTTTCCACCACACTTCCTTTCAAAAACAGAATGTCCAGGCTTTCAGTGCCTCATGACTTTTTTTACACTACTTTTATCATTGCCACAATTCCTGGCATATTTTGTAGATTACTTTTTTAGCACAGGAATTCCAGTCAGTAAGGCTTCCCCTCACAAAAACACTCATGAGAAAAATTTCCTTATACAGCAATTCTTTTTTTTTCTTTTTTTTTTTTTAAATCACAATTATTTTATAACTATTTTCATACTACTACGAAAGTCTGACAGCTTTAAGAGGCTTTTAGTAAATTTAGGACTAGCAGAGAACACAATAGAGTACATCACTCTGTAATATAATCTAATCATTTTTGGTGCAATTTTTATAACAAAAATTTAATCCCAGCCTTCCGAAGTGATACGAGAGAGAAAATGGTTCAGAGTGGTTTCTGTAAGAGCTCTTATGCACTAGTAATAATAAATACTTCAGTTCCTTTTTTAAGCCACTCAACTACAATTCCTGCTGTGATTTCACTTGACTATACTGTCGTTCCTTTCCTGTTCTGTCCCACTGCAGTGGAGAGTTAAAGCAGTCGTATTTTATTTCCAAACATGACTCCATTCTGTACTGTATTTCTCTTCCCTGCTTCATGAAAATCTGTGAGACCCAAGCTGTAGTTTGTGATCCTCTGGAAGACGATACGGACAGGCAGGGTCTTGCCATGGCAGAGCCCTTCAGGAACGGACTGGAGATGTGATGACCTTTTATTCCCTAGCTCCATCAGCGGTACCGGCACAGCCTTGGCAGGTAGCAGCCAGAAGGCAGCTACCGGAGGTCAGGAGTACTTTGGGTACTTCACTCGCTGGAAGTAAAAGCTCAGCACTGCCGAGAATTGCATCTGAGGTCTGTCTGTGCCCTCTTCCTCACTCACAGTGCAGGTAACTTGAAAAAACAACGCTTCACCCTAAAGCTGCAGAAGAAATGCCTACACTGGTACTTATTAGAAGCAATGGCTTCACCGGTAATTGGGAAGAATGTGCTCTTTTTATCACAAAAAGAGAAAAAAAATAAAAAAAGAAAAAAGTCCTTTACCCAAACTGTGACAACTTTTGGGTCCCAGGGCATATAAATCACTGTAATGTAATTAGCGTGCACCATTCTCTTCTGGGCAATCAGTGTGAGTGTTAAGCATCTGGAGCTTTGCTGAGCAACGCTCCTCGGTCTCTGCCCGGGCACAGACCTGCAGGACCAGCGATGCTCTGCAGCAGGCACAGGGTGATCTGCAGTCCTGCCTCCAGCACTGGCCACCCCTAGTTGTTGCTGAGGGAAAACCCAAACTCACCTAGATTTTTCCTGAGAAACACTACCCCGTGCAGGTGTAGGATAGCCTACCCTTAAAGGAGTTGGTTTGTTGTTTTTTTGGTTGCTTTGGTGTTTTTTTTTTTTTGTTTGTTTGTTTGTTTTTGTTTTTAAATTTAATCCCTGCTTTTATACCTGGAAGCATGAGATTTTCTGGTTTTTTCCTATATCTTTCCAGAGCTACAGAAAGATGCTCTGGATGGATATCCAAGTTTTATAATTGTTCAGTCCCTCTCTGCATCCTGCATGATATATGCTGGATATTTTTGCCAAAGATACAGCAATGCAGATCAGGCAGCAGGATGCAACTGCAGTGTGTATCTCTGGTGCAGATTGAACAGGAATAAATAGCTGCACTGATGCAGCTGGTCAGAACAAAAGAATTTAAGTATTTAACTGGCTACCACTCAGCACTTCAGAGAGACCTGCAAGCCTAAATGCTTCACCCGTTTGTTTACCTGACAAGAAGCAGGTTATTTAAGCAGCTCTAGTAGGTTTTTCTTCTCTCCTAAAATTAAAATTAAACATTTAATAAGAAAACATTTACTCTTAACACCTTTGATCAGGTGTGGAAACTCTCTCTGAGTAGCAGTGCTGATTAACATTTAATTTTAAGAGGTGGGCACAAACACTAAGAAGAAAATACTCATTGCAGACGTGATAGTGCAAGCCACAAAAAGAACAACCCCTAGTCCATACACCTTTTCTGCTGTCTTAAACACAGCACATCTGCAAATTGCATTACAGGAAAAATGAGAATAATCCATTTTCAGACTCTGTCTTCTGCCTCACATCAGGCTTATTTTTAGCCTTTTCTAGGACTAGATATAAAATGATCTCCCAGTTCTCCTATTGCAGCAATTTGAAAGTGTCTGACCTTATTTTTGCTTTGCAGATTCTATTATGTGGGGCAGGGGAAGGACTTACAGAGCTGTCAACACTCTTTTTCTCTGATTTTTCTGTGGCAGCAGTTAGAGACAGAAAGGACCCATCAGATGACCTCATGT